AGAGGAAGAGACTGCGTCCGGGACCTGGGATCCGCCTTGGCTCGTGTCCCTCCGGGGCTCCCGTACACACTCTCTTTCAGAGGTGGCCTTTGGGAGAAGAGCTGTGGTGAAAGGTAACCATCAGGTGGCTTGGTCTTGAGGAGGGACTGGTCCACATGAGGAGTGAGAGCATGAGGTCAGGAAAAGACCATGCACTTGTCTTTGTCAACCTGAAGTCTACCCCAAAACCTCCTTATTAGCCTCTTGCAGGTAACAGCCAGCACAGTGGTGGGATCCTGACTTGGAAGGTTAGTGTGACTGGTGTCTCAGACTTTGGCGACTGCCCTGGGGCTGGGTGCTGATCAGGCTGAGGGCTGTGGAGGGCTGCAGACACCCTTGCCATGGTCACCTGGCCCAGCAACCGTGTGTAGCAGGCACACGCACAAGATACAATTGTTTCTTTCTCTGAGTCAGTTTGTACTGGGATGCTGGCCTTTCCCTGGTTGAGGCTGCCCTTCTGGGCATGCGTCATTCTCAGACTATGCCACCTGGCCAGATTCCTTGAATTTGAAACACAAGGATAGGAGTCAGCTTGTCCATCAGAGTGCTTCGTGGTGCCTCTGTTGTCCCATCAAGCACAGAGGGGACTCTGCTGAAATTGCTTCTCTTAGTCCTCTCCTCTGAGGGCCTGGGAAACTCATTTCAGGTTAAGTCATGGTTTTATTTCCCAGTCTTATAAAGATGCTATTTGGATTTGTGCCTGTAGCTGTGACAGTAAAAACAGGATTTATAATACTGGGGATTGAGGAAGAGTTTTGCAACTCACCCCAAAGGAGAAGTATTGAATTTGTCAGCTTCCCCCTGACAATGGGGATTGATGGCACTCCACCGCACTGGTGACCATGTGGGGACCAAAATAGATCACCGTGCAGGGAGGGAGGTGGGGGGGGTATCAAAGGCGCCCCGCTTCCCTCCATTCTTGGCTGACAGGTGTAGGCTGGGTGCTGATCGGTAAAGCCTCCCTGTGGGAAATGAGCTCCTCGAGAGGCCCAGGTGCAAGTCCTGTAAGCTGGGGGTGGAGACCACCTGCTTACACTGGAGGGCCAGCGCGGGCAGCAGGCCAAAGCTTCCCTGCTCACGTGAGGACAGTCTAAGCCCCACCCCATCCCCCTGTAGCCTTTCTGGCTGGGGATGGTGGCTGGAGGGCAGATCTTGGAAGTGGCTCTAAAGAGAAATGAAAAAGAAAGAAGAAGAGGGGAAAAAAAGAATAGAAATTAGGGAGGCCATTGAGAGCACCATGGGAGACGGGAAGAAGGGAGGTGGACCCAGAGGGCAGGACGTTGGAGACAGTGTTTGGAGGTTCACGCATTTCCTCCCTGACCAGGCAAAATCCTTACGTTCTTCTGGCAGCTGTCCTGGCATGAGTAGGTGCCCTCAGACTGGGAGAGAAGTTGACCACTGTGCTCTGATGTGGCTCCTCCTCCGGTGACAAGTGTGGCTCAGTGGGTGAGTTCCAGACTGCGAACCAAAGGGTCGCCAGTTCAATTCCCAGTTGAGGGCCAGGTCCCTGGTGTGGGGCGCACGAGAAGCAACCACACATTGATATTTCTCTCCCTCTCTTTCTCCTTCCCTTCCCCTCTCTAACAATACATAAGTAAAATCTTTCAAAACATAAGATGTATTTTTGTTTCTACCTAAAAGAATGAGGAAAAAGAGGCCTTTCCCTGCTTCGCCTGTTGTTCTGTGGTTTCCAGAGCTGCCTGGGGTGGGTCTGTGGATGGAGGAACTCTGGCTGTTGCCTAACAATGCACCGTGTACGACAGAAATGGAACGGCCTGTCTTTGAGAAAACCACTTGGCCCTCCTATGGATGGAGGGTGTCTGGAAGGGCAGCCGGATATTTCCACATTCGCCAAGACCTACTTCTCTCCCGTGCGCTCAGATAACACTACGTCGGGGTGGCTCCAAATGTGGTCGCTGGCTCAGCAAGTTAGGCCGACAGTCATGCCAGTCATGGGGAAGCCGAAGTGGTCCCCACGGGGCAGGAGAGTGGGATGCAGGTGGAGAAGAAACTTAGCTTGTGAGTTGGGACAGACTGCCCCAATTCGAGGTCACTGGCTGGGGCACCGTCTAGGGGCCAGGTGGTACCTAAGGTGGACCTCTCAGATGGGAGTTTCTGCAGTCCCAGGTACAGCTGTTGACCTATGGGGCCCCAGGAGAATTCGGTCTGTGGGTGCTCAGGGGCAGCATCTCAGATGATGGATAGCCCGCCAGATCCTAGACACTCCAGATGCAGTGTAAGGGGCGATGGATTCTTCCCAGTAACCCAGCATGTATTCTCTGTCTGGGTGGTAAGGTCCCTGGAAAGCTGACTTCCCCCTTAGGTGGTCATTTAATGAGCATAGAATAAGCCTAGTGAGTAGGATTATTTGGTTGAGATTTGTCTTTCCCCCCAAGTCCTGGGGCAGCCCCAGGGTATCACCCTCCCCCACAGCAACGCCTCTGGTCTAAGGCTCTGTTCACCCACCCAGGTCCTGCTGCAGGCTACCAATAGCACTGGCCTCTGGGACTCCAGCATCCTTTGCTGCGGAGTTTGCGGACCATCTTTCCTTAGAGATACTACTGATATCACAGAACAGCTGTTGCCACAGGCGGCCCCACCCAGGCTGCACCTGCCATTGTGAGTAGATTGATTCTGCTAAACTCTGAGTTCTGGCATGCAGGCCTCCCCTTCCTGCCAGAGTCATCTGCGTGCAGACTTTCTTTCTGGGGAATTTCCATGGCCTACCTATATGTTCTCTGCTCCTTTCTCCAGAGATATAATTGACATATGACAACGTATAAGTTTAAGGTGCACGACGTAGTGATTTTTTATGTGTATATTGCAAATTGATCACCACAGTAAGATCAGCTAACACATTCTCACATAATTAGCTAACACATCACTTCACATAATTACTTTTTTTTGTGGTGAGAGCTTTTAAAATCTATTCTCTTAGCAACATTCAAATACACACTACAGCATTATTAACTATAGCCATGGCAGGATTGGTCTGTATTTTCACCAAAATGAGGGAGGAGGCTCAGTGGCCTGACAGTAAGGGACCTACCTGTTTCATTAGTTCACTCTGTGACTTTGGGCCAGCCGCTGGCCCTCTCTGAGCCTTCTTTTTCTTACCTGCAACATGCAGGCTCGAACCAATTACCTTTGACCACCCACAGTTCTGTGATTCTGGGACTAAGAAAAGCAAGAAGGCAAAGGCAAGCTAGTATGAGTTTCCTCACCAGGAAAGTTTCAGTTTAATAATAACAAGAAAAAGACTCAAAGTAGTTGTCACCAGCTATTCAAGCTTGCTTTGCCAGGCCTGCGCTGTGAGCTCGGGGGAGATAGAATCTTAGTAAATCCTCATCATAATCCTAGCAGGCGGGCACTGCATTTATTCTTATCTCCAGATAATGACAGGAGCGTTGTGGTGGTAAATAACTTGTGAAAGATCAGTGGGTTAACACACTGGGGCTCTGTCGCAGATTCTGCTGTCTACGGGGTCCGCGTTTCCCTCTGCTTTTGGGGAAGCCCGAGGGAACCTCAGAAGCAGTGGTGGGTCCGACCCGCTTGTGTGCCAGGGCCAACTGCTCCGATCAGATGTGCCCTCCGGTACTCAGACACGAGTATCATTGCTACACAGGGTTTCGATTTTAAACAGACTTGCTTGCTTTCTCCCCGTTCTGTCTTAGGCAGCATAACTGAATAAATGTTTCTTATCATACACACTTAATTTCTTCTATAAATGAAAGTGTTATGTCCCTCTACTTCTGTTGGTCAGGGCCAAAAGAATCCTTTCTCTCTTCTTGGGAGTCCAGAAATAAGTTAAAATTTAATTAAAAGTTTTGTGATTCAACAGCTGGAATCAGGATCAAGTAATGATGGAGCGACCTGGGGAGCACCTGAGAAGAGTTTGCTCCTCTGGTTGCCGGAGCCAACGCTCCAGAAGGTTCCCGGCACCCAGTCCACTCCCAGTGCCTTTCAGTTTCACACTTTTTTCTTAAGAGCCCCGCGCTCCTGCACACCTCCTTTGCTTGTGCCATTCCCTTGCTCTAGAATGCCATCCCCTCCTTTTTGCCTGGAGAGCCCTTTACCCTTACACACTCAGGTCAGGTGTCGCTGCCCTTGTGTTATTAATTAATGCAAATGATGCTCATTTGTTCACTTCTCTCACTTAAACGTTAAGCACTGAGGAGGCGTTGAGGGCAGAGGCCCCTCTCACTGGTCTTTGGAATAACCCTGGATCTGCGCTCACAAGTCAAGTAGAATGTATACGTACTAAAGGCTCCGTGACTTGCTATTTTCACATGGGTGTGTCAGCAGCTGAGAAGTTCCCATGCCCTTTGACCCCATCGTCCCTGTGGTGTGGCATTTACTCAAAGGAAATAATTGAAGAAGAGAGAGTAAATCACACATGTATTTGGTAAATATTAGAAATAAATGAAATGTTTAATATACTTTATTAATTATGCTATTGCAGTTGTCCCATTTTTTTCCCACTTTTATTCCCCTCTGCCTTGCACCCCCCTCCCACCCACATTCCCATACCCCCACCTTAGTTCATGTCCATGAGTTATACATATAAGTTCTTTTAAATATTTTTTAAAGATTTTATTTATTTTTAGAGAGAGGATAAGGGAGGGAGAAGGAGAGGGAGAGAAACATCAATGTGTGATTGCCTCTCATGTGCCTCCCCACTGGGGATGTGGCCCAGAACCCGGGGATGTGGCCCAGAACCCAGGCATGTGCCCTGACTGGGAATCGAACCTGTGACCCTTTGGTTTGCAGGCTGGTGCTCAATCCACTGAGACACACCAGCCAGGGCTAAATATTTTTTAAATTGTTGTTCAAGTACAATTGTCTCCATTCCCCTCCCATCCCCCCCCAGCCATCCCCACCTCCCATCCTCAATCTTACCCCTCTTTGTTTTTGTTCTTGTGTCCTTTATACACGTTCCTTGACAACCCTTCCCTCCTCCCCTCTGGTCACTGTCAGTTTGTTCTTAATTTCAATGCCTTTGGTTATATTTTGCTTCTTTTGTCGATTAGGTTCTACTTACAGGTGAGATCATATGGTATTTGTCTTTCACCACCTGGCTTACTTCACTTAGCATAATGCTCTCCTGATCCATCCATGCTGTCGCAAAGGGTAGGAGCTCCTTCTCTCTTTCTGTTGCGTAGTATTGCATCGTGTGAAGGTACAGCACATGGTCTGGATGGGACATATTTTCTTTGCTCATTGATTAAGCAAACATACTGCTAAGGAGGTATGGGAAGTACAGCAATGAGTTGAATGCCTTTAATGAGCACACAGCTCAGCTTCTGCAATGATAACCACACAACTACAGAGAATCAGAGAGCCGCGTCTGGCTGGATGTTAAGAGAAAAAAGCAGATTACAGAATTGTACATTATGATTGCAGTTCTAAACATGTGAGGGTGTGAACAAGCTCTGGATGAGCAAAGGGCCATACTGCATGACATTTTCTCTAGCATCATCAGAGCTGTTTTTCAAGCTTTAAAGTTTTAGACCATTCTCAATGTTTACTGAACAAAGAAAGCTGCCCCCGTGACCCTGGCTCTCTAGTTTGGCGGTGGCCTGAATGATGTCGTTATCTGCAGATGGGCAGTGGTTTGCCACAAGATTGCGAGGGAGTGTTCAAGGCAATACGCAGGGCTGGGCCAGGGGAGGCTACTGTGCACCCAGGAGTGTCCACTGAGAGCCAGCCTCCTCTGTGTCTGGACTACAGCTGACTGCACGCTCCTTTGGGTGCTGTCAGTGCCACTGCTTGAAGCATGGTGTCAGGTGGGGGGCAAGCTGAAGTCTGAGTGTCGGAAACTGCAACAGTTGGTAGCTGGTTCTTTATGCTGCTAACAATGCTACCGATGTGAAAAGTGCCACTGTCTCTGTTGCACAGATGAGGAAACTGAAGCTCGGTTGGCCCTAAGCTACCCTGTGGGTAAGTGATAGAGAGTTGGGATTGGAAACCCTTCTCCGTTTGGGCCAGGGTTTTTTCCATTTCTCTCATTGGGCCCAGGAGCAGGTGAAGGTACGTGAAGCCAGACGGAAGGCATCTGGCTGACAGGGTGAGTGGAATCCTCTGAAAGGAGGGGGCAATGGGGAATCTCTTGGTGGGACCACATGACAGAGGGGCTCAGATGCCGGACATTTGAGTTTGGACTTGAGGCAGGTGGCAGTGGGGGGCCTTTGTAGATTTGGGGACATGAGAGGAAGAGTATGTTGAAGAAGAGGCCAGTCATGTGGACTGACTGGTGTGATTGGAGGGAAGGCTGGGCCAGCACATGGTGCTGTCAGTGGGCAGCTCTTGTTCTACGTGATCACAACAGTACCCACCCCTCCAGCTTCTTGTAAATGTGTATATAGGTCTTGTTGAACCTCTAGCCATAAGATTGGAACAGAAACTGCTATCTTATCTGTCCCTTGTCCATGGATACCACCACCTGATCCAGGGGTGGGCATCTGATACACACTCGGACAGTCAGAGTCCTTCCCTGGGAATTTTGACCTTGAGACCAGAGAGGGAGGAATGGGTCTCAGTCCCTTTCTAATGACAAAGCTGTGCTATGTGAGCCTGGCTGCTCTGTCACCACTCAGAGATTTGAGAGTCAGAGAGGATATCCTGGCTGGGTTCAAGCCCGGTTTCCGTGCACTCTGGGGGCTCAGCCACCCCCTTGCTGGTGCCACAGAGTGAACTATACTAACCCCCTCCTTTTTAGCTAAGCTAGTCTGAGTCAGACTTTTGTCAAATCAAAAAGCCCCAACTTTTACAGTAAGAGACATGCCTACCCTTTATCATTCAAATTTTGAGCACAATTTTCAAAAACCACCATAAGGTGGTTTTTTGGAGGATAATTGGGCCCATTATTTCTTGCATGTAAAAAAAGAAAAAAAATGTGTCCTCATTTTTTTTCAGTGTCAGACTCAGGGGACCCAGACTCTCTGTAGAGACAAAGCTTTGGGGATCTCTTCAGAGGGCAATGGACGCGTCTCCATCACTGGTGTAGTAGGTCGCGTTGCTGCTCAGCACGCTTTCCCTCCGGGTCCTCTCTGATTCAGAGGCCGGGAACGCGGCGTGGACGGAACCACCGCACACAACAGCCAGGCATTTCCTATACACGTGGCGAAGGTATCTTCTGAACTTCTCTCCAGCAAATGCGTAGATAAAGGGATTGAGACAACAGTGGATAAACGCGACTGTCTCGGTCACATTGAGGGCCAGTTTCAGATCCCTCTTCATGTCACAACTGGGAAAGAAGTTATAGAGGTTGAGCGTCTCTAAGAAAACCATAACGTTGTAGGGTGTCCAGAAGAGGAAAAACACGATGACCACCAGAAAGATCAGTTTAATGGCTTTAGCTTTCTTGTTGTTCTTGCAAGAAAACAGCGTCCGTAGGATTCTGAAGTAACAGTAACTCATGATTAGTAGGGGGAGCAGGAAGCCAAGAATATTTACTTCCATGTTTCGGAGCACAGGCCAGATGCCCTGCAGGATCTCAGGGTAGTCCCCAAAGCATTCGTTTTCCGTAAGTTTTGTGAACATGAACTGGGGTGCCGCCACCAGAATGGCGGCTGCCCAGACGCCTAGGCTGATGACGACGCCATGCTGCACAGTCCGGTTGTTCATGGAGCTGGCGGCCAGGACAATGGCCTGGTACCTGTCGATGCTGATGATGGTGATGAAGAATATGCCTCCAAAAAAACCAATGAAGAAGAAGGCGGTAGTGAGTTTGCACGTAGCATTATGAAAGCCTTGATCCCGTATCTGATAGTGAATCCAGAAGGGCAAGGTGATTACAAAGAGCAGATCAGACAAGGCCAGGTTCAGGAGGTACATGTCGGTGATACTCCTGGGCTTCCGGCTGTGGGTGAGGGCAAACACCACCAGCAAATTGCCCACCAAGCCAAAGGCAAAGACAAGGGAGTACACTATGGGCAGGAAGGTGGTCCCGAAGACCACAATGTCCCCCATATCACAGGCTTCTGCGCTCTCATCATACTGAAAGGCTTCTGAAACCAATTCAGGCAGGAGGGTGGGCATGGTGAGGGCCTGGAGCAGAAGGGAAAACAAGGAACAGCATGAGTTCTCAGAGAAACAAAGTCAGAATTCTGTCTGTCCTTGTACATAGGCATGCTGTTAGGGACAAATAGTGGTTGGTGTATAACCGATACATTTCCCAATGTCACATATGCCGTCTCGTTGTATCCCTATGACCATCTCCGTTGGAGGTTGTAACTGACTCCTTTAACAGAAGAGGAATCCAGGTCTCCGAGAGTGACCTGTCCAAAGTCACCCGGTCAGTGGGTAGCCCTGCATTTGAATCTAAGCTTTTTGAAGCATAAGACAAACTTTTTTTTTCTCATATTTTTTCAAAGTTTCTCCAAAAGTAGCTGGCTCTACCAGTGTGTGGACAGGGGAGAGAGGACCATGGGCAGGGAGGTGAGGGGTGAAGCCCTCATCCACATTTCCAGTCCCAACTTCCTAAAGCAGTTCTCCATCCCATTCCCTCATTCCCACCTCTTCTGCCCTCTGGACCCAATGTCTTCTGCATGGAGCTGAGACTGGAGAGAGGCCCCAGACACTCTCCAGGGCCCTCAGCAGACCCACACCCAGAAGTCCTCGTCTTTGTTTTCTGGAGCCATTTTTCCCCTCTTCCTCTCAAAACTGATGAGTCTTCCTGCCCTGGGGCAACTACCTTGTCTTGACTTGCCCAGGACTTTTCCAGTTTTAGCACCGAAAGCCTCCCCTGTTGGGAATCCCTGCCTTCTAAGCAAATCCAGATGGTGGGTCATACCGTTGCTCCCAGACACGAGCAGGCGTGGCCACCCTCCAGGCCTCTGCAGCCGGGGGAAAGGGCCGCTTGGTCCCCAGTGAAGGGCTGTGCTCAGCCTGCTGCACCTGCTGGCTCATCCACTTGATTATTAGCAGCCCCACACTCTCCTTCCGCCTGGCCCTCCCCCCTCTTCTTACTTCCTGTTTCCTCCTGAACAGAGATGGAAAGAGAAGGTATTTCTGCGCAGGTTGGGAAGTAACACCTGTCCCATTTCCTCTCCCCTCTCCACCAGGACTCACTCCTTATTCCTTCCAGAGGCTACAAGAGCAGCCTCAAACCAACGCGGGGCCCCGGGGCTCCTGCTCTGCCGGGTGATACCACGGACAGGCACCTCGGAAACCCCAACCATAGGCGGGGCACACCTCCCGGTTGTCACTGCATCCCTCCCCACCACAACTAAAAGTTGCACTCACACTTCTTCAACCAAGGGAGTTTTCACACCCCACCGCTTCCTTTTCATGCTGGCTTCACTCCAAGGTGAGGGCCCTCCCACCTGTGCAGAGATGGGCCCTGCCTTGCGTCCAGGCCCAATTTTGCATCTGACCCAGACCCTGCCAGGACCGAGTGGGCCAAAGCTCCGACCTGGACCATCTCAGGCTGGGAGGGAGTTCTCATCCTGAGCAAAAGTCTATGTTTTCTTTGCTTTAGGCTGCAGGGCCCTTTTCTCAGACACGAACCTCTGGCAGTGACCTTAATCGATAACATTTCAGTTGAACCATATAATATGGCTGATACGCCACCGTTTTGAACCACACGAAGGTTAGTTTCGAATGGTGCCAGCAGAGGAGGGAGACAGGAATTGCTACTTGGTGCCCCTGGCTGGTGGCAGGTGCATGTCTTCCCAGATATGCAGATGGGAGGGTGTGCAGTCAGGCCCTTGGTGGTCGTAATTCAGGATCCCGGGGCAAACATCCTGCTCCCTCCCCTTCCTCCCAGTGAAAGGAGCTGCTTTGCTGACCTGGAAAGGAGGCCAAGGTCAATATAAATCACGGCGCAGCTCTTCAAGTTCTTGCCCTCCATCCTGCAGCCCAGGAACTTTGTGCATTTGGATTGTCCTGATTTTGCCAAATGTGTGTGAGTTGGGTTTGATTTCTGCTCTTGGTCCTCACTGTGCCTTATACACAGGGACCTCCTATAAATCTCCAGGCAGGTATCCCTAGGTCACTGAGGAAGGAAAGCAGGTGATGGGCAGAAAGAGCAAGGGCTACAGACTTGGGCTCTCCCGAGGTGGTATCCCTTGTGTGCCTTCTCTGACCTAGTGACCTTGGGCGAACTTGGAACTTCTGGGCCTCACATCCCTCACCTGCAAGATTGGGGCTCATTCTCATGACTGCCCACAGTGCCATTTTGAAGTGAGCACCTGGCACAGTGCGTTGTATACAGCAGGCACTTAATAAATACATTCGGTGAGAAAGCAGAAGCACTTTGGACGTTCGGAATCATCCAGGCAGCCTGTGGACTCTCATGTTTCACTCCTACCCAAATTGTGAATATTTGGTGTATCATGGATATTTCATTATTTTTCTCCTGAAATAAAAAATGTTTTTTTTTTTACAGATTTTTTTTTTTTTTGAGGAAGGAGGGTGGGAGGAAGAGGGAGCAAGCCAGACTTTACTGAGCTTTTACTAAGGCCTAGAGGAGTGAAAGAAGAGACCCATCAGACCCAGTGATGAACACTCCACATTATTACCTATTTAGTTCTCTCTGCAACTCTGAAGGGAAAGTCCCGTGTTGAATTCACTGCCTTGCCGAATGGCTCCAGGGATATTTGTGATGAGAGGGAGGGAAGGGCGAGACAAAGGCTGGGAGATGGTAGAGACAGAAATAGACAATTGACCTCCAGGCTGAGTGGCAAGGAGGTCCAAATGTAGCCCCTCGCCATGCTGAGGGCCCTGGCTCAGGGCAGCCACATGCACTGGGATACTTTTTCTAATTGGCACCCAGACACCAGATAAGCCAGGGGTAGTCCTGGTTGGAGCAGTTCAGCATCCATTCAGCAAGCACAAAGAAAGTGTCCAGGGACACTGTGCTCATTACGGAGGGGGCGCATGGAGAGATCAGTTAGGTACAGTCTCAGCCACAAAGGGGCTTGTGATCTCAGCAGGGAAGACTTCACACAGACCAAGACTTTGGTAAGGACAGAACGCAGGCATGTGCCAATTTATCCTCAAGATGAAATGCCATTTCAGATATGCTTGGGAAGGGGTGATTGTGCCTGACTGTTGACATTGCTTATTGCAAGTAAGACCGGTCAGTCAGGGGCATCGGTCTAGCTTGGGACCACTCCCTGCCATCCAGAGGGTCCACTCAGGTGAGGGTTCAGCTCACTGGTGGCTCAGCATTACCAACAAAGACCCCAGAAGTGTCCCAGCTCCCACTGCTCTGCCTCAGCACATGCACATAGTAGGTGCTTCCTCAGCATGCAGGAGTCCTGCTATGAGCAGTTCTGCACCATGATACAAAGGAAGCAATGGAGGAACACAGCTTTCAATGAGCTCCTCAAAGCCTAATATTCCAATATAATAACAACAGTATGTTGTGCATGCTTAATAAATGGTAGCCAACACATAAAAGGATTATTATCTCTATGGGCAAGTAGATGTACTCAGAGAAGGTGAGCAACTTACTTAAGGTTACACAGCTGGCATGTGGCAGGGTTGCAGTTTGGGCCCAGATGTGACCAGTCTCAGAATCTTTTCCCAACTTTGCATTATAGCCCTTCCTTTGTCCCAAGACTATGGGTTCTTAAGAGAACGGTGGGTGTCCTCTTCAGCTCTGTAGGCCACTGTTCAACAGAAGGAGAGATCTGGCACAGAGCAAATGCCCAGGAAGGAACACTCATAGAAGAATTAATATTGTGCTCTAGACCTTCATCCCAAAGAGTTCTGTGTGAGTAGTGGCAACAGCAGGCCTTTAATTGCCCCATTCCCAGAAGCATTCACAGGGTACATGGGTGTCCTTGCTGATCATGGGCCAGGGACCCTTGATCTCTGAGAGCATAGTGGGTCCCAGATATGTTGGATGAATGAATGAGTGAGTGTGAGTGAATGAATGAATGAAAGGCCTAGAGGAGTGAAAGAAGAGACCCGTCAGCCTTCCAGTACAGAGCCCCAGGAGACAGCACAGGTCGCCAGCTCTCCAAAGAGAAAACAGCTTAGAAAAGACAGTCACTCATCTTGACATACTCTTCTGTCCCATGGCTGTTGGACATAGCTGGTCATGAGACAGATGCCAGCATGAGCCATTTTGGCTCCTGTGCAAATGTCAAGGCCCAGCTGCAGCTGTGACTGTGACTCAGGGGTGGCCCAGGGTTTTACGTGGTTAGGGAAGGAATTTGCAGTCTGTCTGAGCCCTTGATCCAGTTCAAACCCAGTCTTGCTAGACACAGGCCTGGAACATGTGACGGTACCATTTGCATCAGAACCCTGACTGCAGGTGGGACTTCCCCTTCACTGAATTATTCCATTGAACTTGATGTCCTAATCAAGGGACCTTTTTAGGAAAGGTGAGCCTGAGCTGGGTGGACCTTTTCTTTCTGGATCCAGGATTGGGAGATGAGACTAGAGATATGGCCTCCAGGTAGCTGATGGGAGTAGGGTTGGTGGTGGGGATGGCCTTCAGGGGAGGTCAAAGGGCTGTTGGGAGTCAAACTGGCTTCCACTTAGGCTGGACACGGGTTTTCCTAGTCCCTGAGGACACCAGAATCCAATGAGGTGAGCCTCAGCTAGGTAGGTTTCACACGGACACGATTGCAAGGGGGAGGGTGCATGCCAGGGTGAAGTTCATGCACACTGCCAACCAAGGCTGCTCTGCACAGCTTAGGGCAGAAGCCAGCAGGAACAATCTCCTCTGGACTGTTCTGGGGCCTCCTCACACTCTCTTCCATTACATCAAGATTTGACTAAACAGTGTTGAGCTTTTTTTTTAAATTTATTTTTTTATTGATTATGCTGTTACAGTTGTTCTATTCCCTCCTTCATTCCCCTCCGCCCTAACCCCCCCATCCCCACCATTACCCCCCTTTAGTTTATAACCATGTGTCTCAAGTTCTTTAGATTCTATATTTCCCATACTATTCTTGCCCTCCCCATCTATTTTCTATCTACTGTCTATGCTACTTATTTTCTGTACCTTCTCCCCCCTTCTCAAAGGGACTTATCTAAGAAAAAGAAGTTGAAAAAACATGAACAGTGAAAGGACAACAAACTCACAGTTATTAACAACCACACCTAAAACAAAAGCAAACTAAAAGGACAGCTAGATCAGGAGCTGAACCATAGAAATGAAGATCACATGGAGGGTTAGCAACAGGGGAGTGTTGAGCTTTTAAAGAACCTTTCGCTTGCCTCTTCTGCCCAGCCTTTTCTACTTCCTCTGGTCCGCTTCCTGTTCTCAAGCCCACTCATTTATTTTTTTTTAACTTTTTTTTTTGTCACCATTACCCACTGTTTCCAATCAGCTTCCCTTTTTTGCACTTCCTCCCTTATAAGGTAGCCCCAATCCCTTGTCTCCTTGATCCAACCTTCTCCTCAGGTTGTGTCCCTCTTTCTTTTGGTTCCCAGTTCTGCTTACAGTTTGCTAGATCTGGTGCATCTTCTTCTGTGTATTTGTTTGTTTACCCTCCTCGGTCTCTGTTTATGACTTTTTAGGCCCTTGAGTGAAAACTGGGGTTGAGGTGCGGTCTAATGTCAACCCCCCCCCAAAAAAAATCAAACCAAAAAAACCCAAAAAACAAACCCCGTGAGGTTTAATTTCTTTTTCCTTTGGACCAAAGGGAACTAGAGAATTGCTTGAGCCCTGACTGACACCAGCGTTCCCCGGGGGACGCCTCCATGCCGCTGCTGTTCCGGAACCCACGGGTATCCTCAGAAAGCCCCTGGTCGGAAGGCGAAGGGCTGCCCTTCCTGGGTGCCTGCTGGGTGTTACGCTCCCTACGCACGATCCTTTTTCATGCTCTCCACGGCCCCACAGGAGGAGCGATTACCTTCCCCCCTGGACAAATTAACTGAGGGCCGCTCGGAGAGATTAGGGAAGCTTGTTTAAGAGAGCCATAGAGGCAAGATTTCACCCCAGACGCGTCTCTCCACCCCCTGGCACGGCAGGAGGCTTTCCTGTTTGGAGAGATGTGCGGCTCACTGTGGGGCCGCTTCTCTAAAACGAGAGCCAGTGCCCCATGGAAAGAAGGTGCCCGTGAAGCAAGCCGAACACTTCCTGGGGTTCTGCCTTCCAGACTTAGAACCTGGTATTTGCCACTCTGAATCGATGGGCTGGAAATGGAGGGTGGGGGCTTATTTCCTGCCCTGAGATACGTGGTGACGCTTTTCAGAGCCGTGTACCTTATAGGGGCCCACTCACCCCATGGTGGCTGGGAGACCCTGGGCAGCTCACTCCCAGCTCTGCCTCAGTTTCTTGATGTGTGAAAGGAAAGACTTGGAGTGGACCATCTCTAAGGGCCTGGTAAACTCTGGCACGTTCAGTTTTTCAACAAGAACCAAGTAGAAGAAAATCTTATCCTTCCTTCCTTCCTTCCTTCCTCCCTTCCTTCCTTCCTTCCTTCTTTCCTCTTTCTCTCTCTCTCTCTCTTAGAGGGGAAAAGAGAGAGAGATAAAGAAACATCAACTGTCTGTCTGCCTTCTCCTATGTGCCCAACTAGGGACCAAACCTGCAACCCAGGCATGTGCCCTGGCTGGGAATCAAACCCATAAACTTTTGGTTTACAGAACAATGCTCCAACCAACTGAGCCACACTGGCTGAGACAAGAAGGAAGTATTTTTAAAGAGCAACATGAGTCCTGGGTCAGTGAAAGTGTGACCTGGTGTCAACAGAGGTGGCTGCCCAGCAGCCTGCCCAGGGGACATGAAGCTTCTGGACTTGCAGGCTACCAGCCAGCAGTTCAGAAGAAAGCTAGAGAAGTTGATTTCAAGCCCTGACAAGTCTTGAACTTCACCTTGTTCTAGAGGGGAAGGTCCTCTGTCTGGCCCTGAGCCCACACCCCCAGCTGTTTGGGCCCCTGAGTTTTAGCAGGTCCTGATGGTTTTCTCATTTACAATGACAGCTGTTTTTTTTTAAATTAACACCCTCCGCTAGGATCCAGGAAGAGCTAAAATATTAGTGTCCAGCTAATCTTAGCTAAAGTATGGTGAGATTAAAAAAAAAAGTAAAACAATTTTCATGAGAAAACTTCTCCCTGTTGAAAATAAAGGAAGAGAATCCTCCTGCTTCCTTTTTCTTAGAATGTTTACTTTAGAAAATGTATAAGTAGTCTCTCATGTCTTCGAAATGGAGTTATGTAGCCTTTTGAAATGTGATTGGTTCTCCTGTCAGCTTTATTACTCAGGACTGTCTTCCTCAAGGACCTGGGAGACATCCCTTGGAAATGCAAACATCAAAAGACAGTCCCCCCCGCCCCCCCTCAGCTCTTCCCTGAGAAGTTAGGAGCAGGGTGTGCTGCCCCAAGTTGCATAATGACCTCTGATCATAATGATATGAGAAATGTATTTCTTCTCTGGATGGAGCCCATTAGCTAACACCGATGGTGACCACAGTCACCACAGCGAAGCTGGGATGAATTATGTGTGACCGTCAAGTTTTCTTATGTGAAGACTAGTTTCTCTTGAGAACGTGTATGTGAGGGGTCCCATCTGCTTGGCTGTGTGAAGGGTGAGAGTTTTCCTTTTCCGTTTTTATATTCTCTTAGCAGATTGCCAAGTGATACACATCCGTTCTGGTTGAATGCTTATTCAGTAACAAAAGTGTTTTCTCTCTCTACTCGCTTTGTGGGGAGTTTTCCTGGATTGGGCTGGAGAAGAGTTTGTTTTGGCTTTATGTCCCCAACACAAGACACTCTGCTGAGTGCTGAGGAGGTAGAAAGGTTTGAGATATACTCTCTGTAAAATTGTATTGTTTCATGACAAATACAAGGAAAGTTATGGGGAACCCAAGAACTGGGTCTTGAAGGCTGGAAGGGTCTTCAGCGTAGACAGAGGGAAAGACAGGAACTGGAGGGTGGAGTTGAAGCCAAAGGCACTGAGGGTCTGAGCATGGGGTGGGGGGTGCTCCTGGGACCAAGGCCAGGCAGAGGGGGTGTGATGGAATATGCCAGAAACAGAAAGACACGAGGATGGTGGGGTTGGGGGAGGCAGGTTTGTCCCCAGAGTGAGCATTCAGGAAGATTGGTTTTGCCTGAGTGCAGGGCTCCAGGAAGGATGTCAGGAGAGCCAAGACCAAGGAGGCAGAAGAGGGGTAGGCAGAGGAGTCTCAGATTCCACGCTAAGGAACTATAGGGAGAAATTAAAAATGACTTTGAAATAGGCCAGAAAAGTTACTGGTGTCCTACCTAGCACGCCCTTCTGGGCCACCTCCCCCTTTAACTGTCCGAGCTGACTGACTACTCTGTAAGTTGTAACAAATTGGCAGCCACGCCGTGATTCTCACTGATGAGACTAGAAACCGTGTCTGGTGGGGTTGCCCTTGCAGAGAGGGACCAATGTTGCGTTTGTACATTTAGCTCCGCCCTTCTGGAAGTGTCTGATCAGTGCTGTGGCTGAGGCTGTGGCCCGTCCCTTCTCACTGCTGTCCACGCTGCCACCGTGTGTGTGCTCCACTCCTGCCATCAGGCTGTGGCGATGCACAGCGGGACCTGTTGTGGGACACCAGGTGTGCCCCTTCCTGCCGAGCTCGTCCACTGCAGGTGCTGCTTCTAAACATTGTCAGGGGGAACCATTTGAGACTGATGCAAACAGGGAAGCTGAGGGCTCGTCCCGGGTCAGAGGCTGGGCTGGGGAGGAGCAGCCACAGGTCCCAGGTCTTGGGAAGTCTGTTCTTTGAGGCCAGGGTTTCTGACACTGTTGCCCTTCTGAAGCCCCGAGGAGGTGAGATGGGGTGCATCCTGGGGGGTGGAGAAGGGGTGGGGAAGGGAATGGAAGGTGGTCCTGTACTGGGTCAGCTCCTGCACATTCGTTCCTCTGCTGCCCCTCACAACCTCACTTGGAAGTAGCCCGTGATCCTGAATTGCACAAACTTCCTGAGCCTCAGTTTCCCATAATGCCAACATGTATTATTTCTTGAGCCCCAAATAGGGGCCAGGGAATGTGGTCGGAATTTTATATACCATGCCTTAATCTTCACAAAAACTCAGCCTGGACCCATCACCTGGCTTCAAATCAACTCCTGGCTGATATCTATGTTAAAATTGGGGCTCAAGGCTGAGCAAGGTCAAGTGCAGAGCCAGAGCTTTGTTCCAGAGCCAAGCTGTCTCCCCTGCCCCTCATCTGCGAAGCGGGGAAACTGGCAGTTGTCGATATGGGGTATGGCTCACATGTGGCGGACACACAGTAGGTCTCCCTTCCCAAGGGTGTGGGGAAGAGCCTGGTTGGCCTGCGAGGAAGAAGGAATCTCACAGAGCCCACTCATAGCCCCTTTCTTTCCAACAACATGAAGCTTCTGAACCCGAGGGTACTCGCCATGACTATACTGGTATATGGCAATATTGAGCATCAAACTTGTGCCAGCAATTTATTAATTAAAGTTGTTTTCATTAGAAATGCAATGGGTGCTCTTTATAAAAAGGTAGATGCACAAAAATGCATGGAAATAAAAGGAAAAAACAAAAACAAAACCACAAATTGTTTTGCTTCCTAGATTTAACCGCAGCTAGCTTTTAGCTTTTTAAATCAATCTTTCTGCATTGTTTTCATATTCTTAGGCTCATATGAAGTGTATTTATGTTTAAAGGAAGGTGCTATTTTTATTATGAAATTTTGCTTGTATTATAAACTTTCAAACATACACAAATGCAGAGAGAACCCCCATGCACTCCTCACCCAGCTTCAACACGCGCCTCTCCCAGTCAGAATTTCATCCATTCCCCACCTCGCGTCCTGCCGGATTGTTTAAAAATGGACCCAGACATCATAGCATTTTGCTCATACACAGTTAACTGTGAGCCTCTAAAAGAATGACTCCTTTCTTAAAAAAAACAAAACAAAAAAAACTTCCATATGATTTCTTACTGTAAAAAGTTAACAATAATCCTACAATATCATTCAGATGCACTTTTAAATGATGCTTCTTTTTTTAGTTAATGCCAAATCACCAGCATTTCTTCATGCCCTTACTAATGCATCTGGTCATATTCTATCCTGTTGAGCATATTGTTAATGATTCAATCACTCATTCCCCACCAGCCACCAACTCCTCAAAGCCCCCTGAACACTTAAGCTGAGACATGCTCAGGTCAATGGTCTCCCTTGTTGGCAAAGCAAACCAGCATCATTGCCCTGCTTTGACCTCTGACCACAGTGCCCTGCCCCACGCACCCACAGGTGCTGATCTCCCGTCCACAGGTGCTGATCAAGTCCTCTGCTCCTACCTGGGCTGGGCTCGGGAAGGGAACCTCTGGGTGTGCCAATCAGCCACCCTGTCCCACGCAGTCTGCCAGAGAGCATTTCCCTTTTCCTTCCCACTGAGGGCATCTTTATTTGCAAAGTTAGCCAATAGTGTCTGGTTTCCTGTGAGGTAGGTTATCTCTAGATGCTGCTGTAGGCAGGCTTGAAAGCCCAGGCTGGAGGCCAGCTGACCGCAGAAGGGTCTAGACCACCGAGCTTGGGGGCAGACCAAGAGGGGGCTGTAGGGAGAGATGATTTGGGGGCTGTGTTTTTTACCCAGACATGGGTAGAGGCTGGGGATGGTGCAGGTCTCTTTAGTGGCGTGCCTTTAGGCAAGCTGAGAAAACCCAGGAAGCATCAGTTTTCCTGTGCGAAATAGGGAGCCCATTTTAGTCACTGGACAGGATTGGGGTGCTGATTCACTGAGCTATGGCTCTTCTCCTTGCAGTGTGGTCCCAGCTGGGAGCTTATTAGAAATGCAGCACCTCAAGCCTCACCCTAGACCAACTCAAATTGACTCTGCACTTTAATGAAATTCTCCAGAGATCCGTAAGAGCATTGAGTTTGAGAAGCATTGGCACAGGAAGCTCCTAGTCAGTGCCTGGCACCTGGTAGATGCTTAATAATTATGCTTTTATGCACCTCTCTCCTTCAAGGTATTTCGTGGTTCCCTCTGCCCTTCTGCCCAGTTACCCCAAGTTACGGACACGATAGGTAACCTGGCCCAGCTCCTTGCCATGTTATGTCTCACTGCCGCCGCCGCAGCTGGATGGGTGCCCGGCTGAGACCTGACTCCTCCAGGGCTCATTCCTGCACCTTGACCCAGTCCACTTGTTCTGAGGACAAGGTGCGTCTTATCAGCCTTATCAGGCACCATGGCCTTATCAGCCTGACGCGTGTTCAAGGCAAATACTACTTCCCTGGTCCATCCCTGAGCCAGGGCCTAGCCGGGGTCTGGTCCTGGCAGACCCTCGGCGCACGTTGATGAAATGATCGTGATCCCTCCCGAGCCTTCCCTGGCTCCTCCCTGCCCACCTGGCCGCCTGCACCCCTGCACTGCCTTCGCTCTGGTCGCTGTGGTCTCCTGAGGTCGGCGGCGTCCTGTATGCTCTCCACTGTGCTTCCTCTTCAGTCCTTTCATGGCCCAGCTGGGACAGAGCTGTGGGCTGGGACCGCAGTGCCGCAGGCTCAGGGACCAGCTAGCGTTTGGGGAAGCCCACCGCTGGTTTCCTCCTTTGTTCAGTGCCTCTGACTCCCCTCCTACTTTCCCGAGTGGTCCTTTCTGGAATGTGGCCAACACCCTTTCTCTCCTCTGGTCACATACCCTTCAGGGACAATCTCACCTACGCCCTGTCAGTGACCACCTCTGAGATCTGATTCCCACGTCTCTGTGTCCAGCGGGGCCTGTACGGCCTCCAGTGCCCCTCCGTGTCCTTCACCCCAGTGACTGTTCGCCACCCCAAGGCCAGGGAGCTCTTTCTAGAACCCAAACTGCTGACTTAAACGCTCCAGGGGCTCTGCTCATGGTTGTTCAAGTCTCGGCTTGTGGGCGCGGCCTTGACGTGGCCCCGCCCCTCGGCGGTTCCCACTGGCTGCAAGCAACCCTGGCGCCTCCCAGTGCATCTCCCGGCCAGTGCACCTCCCTTCTCGCCAGGCTGCTGCCGGGCCTGGGATTCAACCATCCCCTCCTTGGAAGCGAACAGCCAAGGCTTTCATGTTGCACAGCTGCTGGTAGAAGACAGGACTCTATGACTCACGGCCTAGCCAGCAGCCTATTCGTGTCAGTTCTCTTTTCTCCCCAATCCCGCAGGGCGACCCAATGGGCCTGGCCCACACCTGCACCCGAAGGAGGGTGCATGATAAGAGAGGAACTCAGGGCTTGGGGAACAGCATTTTAGAGCAAGCAGTGAGCAAACCCTGTCTTTGGAGCGGAGGGAGACCTTCCTTCCACCCTCAGGCTGCAAACACCACCCTGAGAAGTGACCAAGGAAAGAGTGGCGGGGCTTTGCGTGCTGGTGCGCTTGGCTGCACTGGAGAGCCTGGGCCGCCTTCCCTCTCCCGCCCCGCCTCCTCTCTCCTGCCCCGCCTCCTCCGGCTGCAATGAAGGCCGCTCTGGTGCCCTGGGCCTCTTTCCTTTGCTGGGTCCCTGTCCAACCCTCCCCAGTCCTCTCACTCTGCATGCTGCCCCATTCCTTTGACCAGTCTTTTTTTCTTTCTTTCCTTTTTTTTTAAAGATTTTACTTATTTATTTTTAGACAGAGGGGAAGGGAGGGAGAGAGGGAGAGAAATGTTGATGTGACAGAGAACATCAATCCATTGCCTCTCACACCCCCCCCCAACTGGGGACCTGGCCCGCAACCTTAGCATGTGCCCTGGCTGGGAATCGAACCAGGGACCTTTCGGTGTATAGGGACTACACTCAGCTCACCAGCCTTCATCCCTCATTTTCCCAGCGCCTCTGGCCCCGCCCTTTGTCTGAGCCGTTCCTTATGAGGGAGAGCAGAATATGCCCCCTCCAAAATGCGCCACTTTGGCATATTGATTTTGAGCTGTAGGCACCTAAAAAACAGCACATGCAGGGAGAGGCTGACTCTGAACTCCTCCTCCTAAGCTGCCTAAAGGGACACCCTCCGAGGAATGCATTTGTCATGAACCTCCTCCCAGGGAGGTCCCACCGACCAGGAGGACTGACTCCCATCATGGAAGAGACTGGAAGTTGGTACCACACCCAAACAACTGGGTCACAGACTATATCAAACGTCCCATCTGTCTTTCGAACGGCCTGTTCATCTCTAAACATCCTTTTTCCTCCCTCCACCTTCTCCCCATTAGGCTAGTATTTAAGCCTGAATTCTAAGCCCGCTTGAGCAGTGACTATGGGTCCTAGGCCATGTTTCTCTGGGTGACTCCCGTGTACGTATGAGGTATTGATGTCAATACTCTCCTGTTTATTTCTCTCTTCTTAACCTGTATGTCATTATGGGGTTTCAGCTAAGAAGAACTTCATTAAGAAGGGTAGAGGGAAAACGATTTTTCTTTCCCTACAGTTCCTGGTGACTCGGGGGAAACCTCTGGGGGCAGCCCCCTTGCTCAGAGCCTGCAGATGGGATCCTGGAAAAGCTGGCAAAAGCCAGGGAGGGGGGGAGATTACTTTTTCTCCCCTACACTTGTTAACAAATTCTTCACCACCTGCAGTTTCTCTTCCAATTGAGACAACTGCAGACAATGGCCTGGTTTCTGCTGGCTGGAAGGATGAAGACCTGCTAGGCTGCTTTAGAGGCAAAGCCATGCTGGAGAAGCTGTGAGGAGAGTGGGACCAGCCCCGGCAGTGAGGACTGGAGGCTTGGTTTGCGTGAAGCTATGGAGAGAGACACAGCAAAGGGAAGTAAGGAGATGATTTCGCCTTGAGTGTCCGGTGAAGACAGTCCTGCTTCATGCCACAGGCTATGGGCACCACTGGGAATGACCACAGCAAACCTTTGCACAGCAGGGTCATATGCTAGGCAGTGTTCTACGTTCTCTATGCACATGAATTCACGTAACCCAGTGACCCCAAAAGCAGGTAACATTATTATCCTCAATTTACAGGTGAGGACGCTGAGGCAAGGACAGGTTCCATAACTTGCTCAAGGCCACACAGCTCATATTTGGCAGAGCCAGGATTGGAGTTTAGCATCCAGGTGTCATGGTGAATGCTGCACATTCTCAGTGGGAGTGACATTGCCTCCAAAGGGGGTAATATTGGTTCTTGTACTTCACCTCTAGAGCACAGCTATGAATACAGAACATGAATGGATAGACGGCACCATGTTGTTAAAATTTCATGAGATGTGATTAAGAATGTGATGTCTAAAAAGACTTCCTGAGGGATGATCATGCAAAAAAGGTTGAGAAACCCTTGCCTATGCTCTTAGTCATATACGCCTCTGCATCTCCTGTTTAAAGCCTGGGGTTAGGGAGTAGCAGGAGGAAGGCGATCGTTTCAGAAAGATACACCAGTGGTTGGATGGATGTGAAGGAAATACGCTGGAATAAAAGGGAAGGACCAATGTATCCCAAATGTTTCTCCATGCCAGGCTGTGCGGGGTACATTGCCCATATCGCATTTTGACGTTCACCTTCAAGTTAGGTATTATTTCCATTTCAGATGGTGACATGAGAAAAACAGCAACGGGTCCTAGGCCACACAACTGGAAAATGGTCAAGTCAGGATTTGAACTTCCTGACCTGTAATGGCGGATCCTGTAGTGCCTTTGGTCATTAGTTGACCCATCCTTGGGCTCTGTGCTGATAGAAAGCCAGCCTTGCAGAGAAGCAAGGCCCATCCTGGATGCAGCCAAACCCAAAGGAGATAGTCATAGCTGTGGATCATTTGTAGCTTCGAACAGGCTGCCTAGAGCTAGAAGTGAACAACATCAGACATTGGCTCCCACCGGCTTCAGACAGCATCAGATTGGTATCCAGCAGGCAAGCACCAGACTCTGCTCAACAAATTCCACTTTATTCTTTTTTATTACCAGTATATTTGTTATTTTTTCTTTTGCATAGCTTTTTATCATTTTTCTTTTTCTTCAATTTTTCCTTATTCTTCTCTATTTTTTCCTACAAATCTCATATTTTACTCTTCCCTATTCTTACTCCATTTTGCTTTCTTCTTTCATTTTCTTATACTTATTACATTTTTTTCATTCTTTGTTCTTTTGTGGTGATTCTTTGTTTCTATTCCTTATTCTTATTGGTTCTCCTCCTGAAATCCACTCATAATCATTCTTCTTCCTTCTTTTTTTGTCTGTTTGTGTTTTTTTCTTACAATATTTTATTTCTCTTTCCACTTTTATTCTTCTTTGCTCTTTTGTCATTGATTTTGCTTGGGTTTTTTGTTTGTTTGTTTGTGTGAGTTCTGTTTTCTGTGCTGTTTTGCTTTGTCCTGTCAGCACCTGTATGACAGTGTACAAGATGTGGCAGAGGTGGAGTCTCTCAGCCAGCCACCTGGCAGGGAGAACCCATCAACAAATGGGCCAAAAACAATCAAGGCCCA